CAATTTTTATTAACTGTTTATTACAAAAACACAGAAAAGCTGTTTAGCTTTCAATATTTGTTTTATAAGTAGCCACTTTACTGGGTGCTATAATTTGATTACGATATTTTTAGTCGATTTTCTTCAGTTTCAAAAATAGATAAACATTTTACCTATAAATAATGATAATTTTGTCCTTTCTAATCTGTTAGTTATATCCCATTTGTTTTCCTTGTCTTATGGCACAGTCTAGAAATTTCTGAACAATGAAAAAGAAAATAGTATTGATAACAGGTGTCTTGATAACTCTTTAAAAGAATGCCTCCAATGTATCACTACTGTGATGTTGTTAATAGTTTGAATATAATTTTTGATATTAAAATATTTTAAGCCCTGGCTGATGTGGCTCAGTTGGTTGCAGCATCATCCTATTCACCAGAAGGTAGTGTGTTTGATTCCTGGTCAGGGCACATACCTAGGCTGTGGGTTTGATCCCCAGTCAGGGTGCAAGTGGGAGGCAACCAATCGATGTTTCTCTCTCCCTCTCCCTTCCTCTCTCTAAAATCAATAAAAAAAATGAAATATACATATTTAAATTTTTTTATAATATTCCATTTGCCAATATTTTATGAAATATTTTTGTTTCTAGATCTACATCAATATAAGCTAATATTTACTAAGTGCTTATATAATGCCAGTCACAATGTTAAACATTCTAAGTGTATTAAATCATGCTAATTCTATAAGATAGATACTCATTTTACATGAGGAAACTGAAGCACAGAAAAGTTAAGGAAGTTTTTCAGGATTACACAGTTAATAAGTGATGAAGCTGGGAACAGGATAAGACTAATTGTTATGTACTACTTTTTACCAGGTTTGGATATCAAGCTATGTTCTTTGTTTGAATGAAATGAAATGTGAAGCTGTCAATTTTAATATGCTCTGGAACAATTTCGAGAGCATAGGAACTACATTTTCTGAAAACTCTGAATAGTCAAGCCCATAACCTTATCTGAGTTTGAAAGTAAATTCTACTTAACATTAAAATTTAGACCTATTTTTGTTTTTGTGTGTTTGCCTCATATTTTTGTCTATGGTTTGCATGGACTCTGGGGACATGGTTCACATGCATTCAGTTATTTTGGATAGGGCCTAGCCATTTTACCCAGCTGCCTAGGTACCACAATTAATAGTCACAGGGTGGTGGCTGGCTATGCCAGCAAAATTAACCATGTGATTTGAGGTGGAGGACCTTTCTTCATGTGGTATCAGTTAATGGAAGACTGAATTCACATAGCAATCAATCAATCACACATAGGTAATGAAAACCTAGAGCACATATCAATCTCATACTTCAACACTGGAAGATACTGTGCCTTGACTTCAAAATCAGAGAAAAACAGAAGCTTCACATTTAGAACCCTCCAAGACACTTCCTTTGGATGCCTTTCCAGAAAGAACATACGTACCCCTATGTTCACAGCAGCTTTATCTACGGAAGCTAAGATTTGGAAAGAGCCCAAGTGCCCTTCAGCAGATAAGTGGATAAAAAAGCTGTGGTACATTTACACAATGGAATACTATGCAGTTGTAAAAAAAAAAAAAGATCAATCTATTGCCCTTTGAGACAGTATGGAGAGATCTGGAGATGATTATGCTAAGTGAAATAAGTCAGTTAAAGAAAGACAAATATCACATGATCTCACGTATATGTGGAATCTAATGAACAAAATAAACTCATGAATAAAATAGAACCAGAGGCATAGAAACGTGGAACAGACTGGCAAATTTCAGAAGGAAGATGTCAGGGGGAAGGGAGAGATTAACCAAAGAACTTATATATAAATATATAAATAAATAAATATATATATATACACACCATGGACATGATAGGGTGGTGAAGGCCTGGAGTGGGGCAGGAACAGGATGAAGGGGGGAAATGGTGGGGAAAAGTAGGGGAACAGCTGTAATACTCTCAACAATAAAGTTAAAATATAAAAATATTTTTATTTTTATTTATTTTTTTTTAGTCCTCACCCGAGGACATTTTTTGATATTTTGTTCAGATAGAGTGGGAGGGAGAGAGAGAGAAAGAAACATCGACGTGAAAGGGACACAGGTCGGGGACAAACTGCAACCGAGGTACATGCCCTTAGCGGGAACCGAACCCGGGGCCTCTCTGAACCGCAGGCCGACGCTCTAACCGCTGAGCCAAACTGGCCAGGGCTATAAAAATATTTTTAAAAGTGACAAGCAAACTAACATTCTCATGACCATTGTGAAAAATATAAAGATTGCTAAATAGCCCATTATTTTGTGTCCTCCTTTTGTTAAAATCTATATAATTTATCTTAAGAAAAATAGAAAAGCAAACTTTCCTGTACAACTTTCAGTGAGATCTATGAGTCTTAGCCTTATAAAGCCTGAGAGTGCCTTGGGCAACCTCCCAAACTTTCAGTGGTGTCAGAAGTGAGAGTAGTCTTCGGACTATGCTCTCAAACTTTGTAGTTTGGCTAACTTCAGGTATAGCTAAGCTATCTAAAGGAACAAATAATTTACTCTCTTTTTAGGACAAGAACTCTAGCTAACCATTTATAATATATATTTTCACCATTAAACTTCTTAAATATGATTTTAGAAAAAGATAAGTTATAAGCAAGTAGAAGAGCTACAGTTAGAGATGAAGAGTATGTTGGAACTGGCAGAGAAATGGCTTGCACTAACTGTCTTTAATGGTTTGTCAAATGTCCCTTTCAAAGCATTTAATGCATGCTGAAACTAGGTATATATGTGTCTTGTCTTCCAGATTCAGAGCATCTTGCTGACAATATCTTAAGTTGTTTATTTTGGTATTATCTAGCCTTCACTTAGGTCTTCACAGATAGTAGGTACTCCACATTTATCTAACTCAATTAAATCTACATAATATAACTCACTTAAACTCTACAAAACTCTGTGAAGAGTTTCAGGAAGTTCTCTCAGGTTAAAAAGATATTCTCCAGTGACTTGTCAAAGAGTTAAAATTTCACTCCTCACTTAATTTTTTCCCCTAATGTCTCCAACAGTCCTCTGGTGGTAAGCAAACATACCCAGAAATACACAAAGCACTTTAAAAATAGATTCATTTAAATTATCAGATTATTTTCTAATTTAGCAGCTCAAAAACTTTGAAATATAGAAAGCAGAAGGCATGTGAAATGGAAAAATAGTTTAGAGGGCTAGATCTACAACAAGGCAAAGTAAGAAATTTGATAATGGGTCAGATGGGTTTTGCAGGCTGTAGGAGGCTAGGGGACAGAAATGGAATGAATAACATAAAAGGAGTGACTATCAAAAGAGAAAATGAATACTAAATGGACATAATGTGAGAAAATTCAAGACAACTAGCAAATTTGCCAATTTTAAGACTCACCTTCAGGAAATCAAATATTTCATATAACTAATACAATCAACGCAATAAGCCCAGTGTTATAGTTTCATTAGTGTACAATTTACTCTATGTCTATATTTTATAATCTCAATAAAAGGCTCAAGTTTAAAATGGAATTCTTAAAGTTTTGCATACCTGTTTTATTACTCTTTACTCCTCTTTATTTCTTCCTACAATTTTTAAGATGTTCTACAGATTTTGTGATTTTAAAATTTTGATTTCAATGTAATTTAACACAGAAGAAAATATATGAAATATAGAAATCTTTTTTTTTTTTTTTTTTGGTACGTGCCCCTAGTGGGAACCGAACCCGGGACTCTCTGGTCCATAGGCTGACCCTCCAACCACTGAGCCAAACCGGCCAGGGCTGAAAAACAGAAAATCTTAATGCTCAATCTATATACTAAATTTTAGAATAATTGTTTTAAGAGGTCAGCTTTGATAAAATGGTATTGATCTATTGGTATTGAAAAAGAAAATGGCAGATAAGCAATGTGTTTTTATCAACATGTATCTTTTATAAAGGTTAAATGAGCACTTGTGTATACACAGGAAGTTAAACATAAAAAGAACATAAAAAATGTTCAAGTTACTATTATAACATATTATTAACAGGTCAAAAGTTATATCTTAAATTGCTTTAGGACAAGAAAATCAACTATAAAAAAGCATACATATTTATTTCAAGTATCAATGTCTTATTTGATGATGAATCTATTCTAGATCTGGGTCTGAAATGTGTATGTAACTTTTAAGAAGTCTATCCTTAACTGAACATGTCATCTCTATTTCAGAAAATTCTACCTTTAATTTCTTTTTTTTTTTTTTATCCTCACCTGAGGACATTTTTCCATTTTTTGTTCAGGTAGAGTGGGAGGGAGAGAGAGGAAGGGAGAGAGAGTGAGAAACATCGACGTGAAGGGACACATCGAGTGGCTGCCAGGGCCGGGGACAAACTGCAACCAAAGTACGTGCCCTTAGCGGGAACCGATCCTGGTTCTCTATGGACCACAGGCCAACTCTCTAACCAGTGAGCCAAACTGGCCAGGGCTACCTTTAATTTCTAATATCATTCACCCATAAGTAATCCTGAATATTAGCAATAAAGGATAAGCAAAGATATGTACTATTTGATATATGACCTTAAGATTCTAAAATACAGCTACAGGATAAGAAAGACTAAACTCCAAATCATCTACCTAAGGTTCAATACTGACTTTTAGAAGAAGATTTCAGACTCATTAAATTTAATATCTTTTGGGATTAGTTCCTATGTAGTATAAAAATAATAATTAAAAAAGAAAAAGAAACTATGACAGTTTAAAATAAAACATATATTTTATAGAATAATGGTATAAATACTCATCAAAGGATAATAAATACTAAAGAAGCTGGTAAAAGATAAATTATATTATCAAAAAGGGAAAATGAGAAAAGAAATAATTTTCTTATAAGAGTTGGGGGACAGGTTTGAGGAGAGAAGGAGAACCAGCCACAAAATAATACATTTTATGGGGTAATTGTGTGGTTGTTGGGTTTTTTTTTTTTTTTAGGTGAATAGCTTTCTTAGAGACTTAAAATTATTTACCTCATTTTCTGTTCCCACGTCCAGAGTGACAGGCAGACATTCCTGAGGATTCATCCCTCCACAAGCTGTATACAGAGCTAATTTACCCACAGGGATGCCCATTCCATTACAACCAAGGTCTCCCAAGCCAAGAATACGCTCTCCATCAGTCACCACAATAGCCTAGAAGAAAATAAAAAAATACTTTTTAATAGATTTTCACAAATCCTGGGGCACAGTTCCTGGTCTCCATTTCTGTAGTTAATACTTATGTAATGAAATACTACACTGTCAAAACACATAAATTGAATATAATGAAAAAGATTTTATGTGATTGTGTGGAAGACAGGGAGAATAAGTAAATTTGATATAAACATTTTATATTTGTTAAAAATAAACATATGGCCCTGGCCGGTTTGCCTTAGAGGTAGAGAGAGCATCAGTCCGTGGACCAATGAGTCACAGGTTCAACTCTGGTCAAGGGCATGTACCTCGATTGCTATTCAGTTGTGATTTGTCCCCAGCCCTGGTCAGGGTACGGCCGTGCAGGAGGCAACCAGTCAATGTATCCTCTCACATTGATGTTGCTCTCTCTCTCCCTCCCACTCGATCTGAAGATAAATAGAAAAATATCCTCAGGTGAGGCTTAAAAAATAAATAAAAATAAACATATATGATTAATTTGGCTGTCAAGAAAAGAAGTGAGGGTGTGCACATTAAGATTTAAACAATCCAGCCCCGACCAGGTGACTCAGTTGGAATATCGTCCCGTACACCAAAAGGTGGTGAGTTCAATTTTGATCAAGGCACATATCTAGTTTGTGGATTTGATCCCTGGTCAGGGTGTGTACAAGAGTCAACTTATTGATGATGTTTCTCTGTCACATGGATGTGTCTCTCTCTGTGTGTCTCTCTCTCCTTCTCTCTAAATATACCCTCGGGTGAAAATGAAAAAAGAAAGTTTTAAACAACCCAAATAACTCAGTCTTCAATAAAAAGGAGCAGTGGGCCCTAGCTGATTTGGCTCCATGGTTAGGGCACTGGCCTGCGGCGTGGAGAGACCTGGGTTCGGTTCCAGCTAAGGGCATGTACCTCAGTTGCAGTTTGTTCCCGGCCCTGGTTGGGTCGTGTGGGTGGCAACCACTTGATGTATCCCTTTCATGTCGATGTCTCTCTCTCTCTCTCTCTCTCTCTCTCTCTCTCTCTCTCTCTCTCTCTCTCTCTCTCTCCTTCTACCTAAACAAAATATCAAAAAATGCCCTCGGGTGAGGATAAAAAAAATTAAATTAAATTAAAATTTTTTTAAAAAAAGGAGCACTGGGAAAAGTATAGAAAAATAAGAACTGAAACTGGGAACTAAAAGAAAAACAGAGAAGTTTTAAAACTAGCCACATCCTCTTTGAGGATAATTAGTTAATTAATGGGTAATAGCTGAGTAGTCCCCAAATGTACAGATCTTTGGTTTATACATCATGGCACCATCAGCCTATTTTCACAACAATGTTGACCTGTCCTTTTTAACATCTATAATCATTTGATATTGTTCTACCATCTTTGATATATGCTCAGTACAGCCTGCTTAAAGTACAGTCTACTTTTTTCACCTGATAAGCTGTCACTAGACATAACTAATTTTGCTCAGTTTGTTTCTAATTACCTTAAATATCTATGAAACATAAATTTTAACAATGTAAAGATTTTAATTCTATATAATCTAATATTTTCAATGAAATTAATGCATCTAATATCTTTATTCTGTGATTCACAGCCATTATGTGAGTATAAGCAAAACCAATATTTAAAAACACAATTTATTAAATATTCTGCATACCACTACACCTGTCATATCCATGCAGCCTTGGAAAAATGTCAGTTATCTGACCTTGGATGAATTAAAGCTTCTGTTTCTTATTTGTAAAATGGAAATAATAAATGTTATTTTCAGAGTAGCTGAATAAAATAAGGAGCCAACTCTGTTTTGCTCACTACTGTACACCAACACATAGCATACATAGTATTTGGCACACAGTAAATAATCAATAAATATTAATTTATAATTCCATAAAATGAGATCATGATATACAAAAAACTACCACAGTACCTGGTACATTAGAAATTCTCAAAAAATGTAGCTATTAATATTCTTATTATCATAGGACTAATGTAGAGAGTCACAGCATTTTAGAAGAGGAATTTAGAGTATATTCAGTTCATCCCTCTTATTTTACAGATTAGTAAACTGAAGATCAGAGAACTGAAATAATTTGCCTATTGGTTTATCTACTTATTATCAAAGAATTAGAATCCAGGTATGTTAACTCCTAGTACAGTGTTTTTCCACCATACTACATTTTAGAACATATTTTAAAATATATCTTTAGCATCTTTTCATTTAATTTTCTGTTCACCTATATTATGAAGCTCTTAAAGAACTGACTTTAAAAAGTAAATACATTTGAGAGGTGGGTGAAATTATTTCTGCATATTTTACAGATTCCATAAGTCTTTGTCAAATTTTTCATGTCTAATTGCAAATGGTCAGTATCAGCTGTTTTGGAGGAGGCAACTTGACACCACTGGGTTAGTTGACTTTGATTTAAGATAAGAAAGATAAACAAATACTGCAGAAAACTATAACTTTGCTTTTCAAATAAGCCAAATTTTCAAAGTCCAAATACTTTGAACGTATATTAAATAAACATTATTTTATTTAATGTACTATAACAAAGAGAGGTACTTTTATATATGGCTGATAATGTATACTTTTGTGAATATGTTCCTTAAGTTCAGTTGGCCTGAATAACTTTTACATATTTTATAACATATTTTATAAGGAGAGCAACATTGTCATATAACTTAGTTATGATCTGAATAATAATTTATATAATGCTTTCCAGGTTTCATTAAAGATATTTAAACCCTGAGAGTTGTTACTTATAATTTTTATCAGTTTCAATTTTTTGAAAAAGGAGTTTAAAATAGTATGGCATCTTCATTCATTTTTGGTAGTACATCTAAGTTATGCTAAATATATGTCTTAAACATAAAATTTTAAAAAACATTATTCTTTTTAGTTCCTTCATAAATTTTATCTCTTGAACTCTTCTTTCATCTCAAGCTATCAATTTAATTATATAAATATACCATGGACATTACAGAGGTGGTAGTTGTTTGAGTAACTATTAAAAAAATATACTTGTAAATGCTACTAGCAAACCCTGTCTAAAACAATCTAGTTCTATTCTTTCAATGAGCAGTGCATTGTTTAAAACCTATAGTGAAGTGTTTGAACACTCTTAGAATTAATTCATACCAAGCAGGATTTGGGAAAATTGTTTTTAGCACAGACTATAATTTCTAAATGAAACTCACTACTAACTATGTAATGAATGTTCCAACATGCTTCCCCAGTAAATGTGGTTATATTACAGTATTTCAGAGAAGAAACCAGAATTCCACACACACTAAGTTCCCTGTGTATTCCCTCAAAGAGGAAACATGTTCCCAACTGGTAATGCAGGTATTAGTCTAAGGCATAACATATAATCAATACTTTAAAAATATGTTTTCTTTATTTTTTTTGTCACCATTTACCCCCATACCCTCTTTCACCTCCAGCCAGCCCCTTCCCCCCGAAATCTCAACAATCTCTGTTTTAAGGCACTTGATATTTTAGCTTTGTTTATGACTTATTACAAATGTACATTTCAAGCATTAATTCACAAACATTTCAACATTAAGGAGTAAATTTTAAGTGAAGAAATCCACTGAATTAAAAATATGTAAAATATACAATGTATCGCTAAATTAACATTTCCTTGCTTTTATTTTTAACTACCTTATCTCATGCTTAAGAAAAATAAAGCAATTTCCCTTAAATATAGAATCTAAAATCAAAACAAATGAACAAAACAGAAACAAACCCACAGATGCATAGAACATTTTGATGGTTGCCAGTTGGAAGGAGGGTTGGGGACATGGGTGATAAAGAAGAGGGGATTCGGATGTAAAAATTGCCAGTTATAAAAATAATCACAGGGATGTAGGGTACAGCATACGGAATACAGTACAGGGCTTATCAGAGTGATTACTTTGTAAGTTACATAGTCGAATCACTATGTTGCACACCTAAAAGTAATATAATGTATGTCAACTATAAATGAAAAACATTTTTAAAGAAAACTAAAGCAGTTGTATATTTTCTGTATAATAATTGAGTCACAAAGGCAGGATTATCTCAGTAAGACAACTGCAATTCTATCTATGGTGTCTGTGTTTCAGAAATTAAATCTACATTCTAATGTATCAATTTTTATTTGGGCAACACCTGATAAAAATATCCTGTATAAAATATGCAAGGGTTCTCCTGAAAACACACACACACACACACACACACACACACATGCACGCACACACACATTCATATGTTCTGTTCTTAGGAGAGTATCACCTTGTCTTTCTAACTATCAAAGGCTACATTTAAGTTCCAACTTGGCTAGAAAAATTTCTTAACTGTATCCTCTGAATAAATGAATGTGGTATAAATAATTTATACCAGTCAGTTTAATTATATATTGTCTTATAATTGATTGCCTTTGTTTCATGTGTGCTTTCAACTACACAGCCCATACTACATCTTAGTTTTCACTATTCTACTATAAGAAAGAACTGCCATTTATTAAGTGCCTGCTATATGCAGACACTATGCTAAGCTTTTAAAATAACAGTATGTACAGTTAGGATCAGAAATATCAGTGAAGACTTAATATTAAGCATTGAAAGGATAAAGGTAGGCTATTAATGAAGTTAATCAGCTAGTGAGAAAATCATAAAGCAAGAGAACAGCTTACTGCCTAGCTTTTAGGATATAGGATATTAATTAGACCTCTCTACCCCAGAACTATTTCCTATTTTGACTCATTTTTAATATCCTCTCTAGAATCCTGATTAAATGTAAGTATCCTTCTTCTTAGAGGAGCAGACATTTATACTTCATTGAATTAGCACATTTTTTAAGGTAGTGCCTAAGGAATGGACCTGTGCTCAGCAAAGACTACTCGGTAGGAGGAAATTTGAGGAAGCAACTTAGGTGGGAGAAAGAGAAAAACAATGGGAAATTTGAAAACAGTAAAAAACATTTTGCTTTAAAAGTTTGCCTAGCATGAGCCTTAAAGAACAGAGTG